CCCCCCCGCCGCCCCACCCCCAACTAATCAGCACTACTCCCACTCCACCCACAGCGGTCCCGCTTACCTGCCCCCCCAGCTGCTTCATAAGCGGCTGCAGCTCGCTGAACAGGTCGTAGCCTTGATGGAAGAAGGTCAGGTGGGCATACATGAAGGACAGCATCTGAAAGGCAGAGGGCATACTGCCGCAGGCTGGACTGCGCTGGCAGGGGGTGGGCCAAGCCTCTGGTGACACGCAGGGTGTCCTATGTTTTCAGTTGATTGAGCACAGGCTTTGAGGGCAGATTTGCCTACTCACCGATTTGAGGATTTCAGACCTCTTCTTAGACTGCAGGACATTGATCTGGGAAGAAAGGTCAGACATGGGTGAAATCCATCTTTTGTCCACTTCACAATGACACTGCAGTAACAATATGCAGAGGTACCAGAGAAAAGTAACCATATGTGAGGACTGCCACCTGCTAACCTCATGCACCTCCAACGAGTGGCATCCCACACGAAGGACGAAAGAGGAACCTGTTGGGACCTCAGGAGTATGGCAGTCCCCACAATGCAGCCACGATGACCCTGATTACTGGGTTGCACATTGCTACTCTACATCATTGCTAGAATTCACAGAAAATATCATGACAGCCACACTGTGTGACTGCATGTTAAATCCAGCATGGTTTTTCATAAAGGGTGTGCCAATCCTGCAGGAGCTCAGAATGAGGTCTGCGGCACTCAGCTGGAGAATGACACGATGCAAAAAATTTAAATTGGTCCATTTCCTGTTTAAACTATGTATCCATCTTGCCAGTCAGGTTAACAGAAGATGTAATAAATTTCAGCAAGGGGAACTCTGTCCATGACACTCCCCATATGCAGCATGTGCAGATCCCCTCTTCCACCACCAGGGGGTGCAAACAATCAGCTCTTTTTGGACCGTCACAGGCAGAAATGTTCCTCCCCTCCCACACATTCTAAACTTGTGACTGCTGGAATTATAAAAACGTTATACAGAAGGAGGCTGCAAGCAACGTGCACTACAGGGCCAAACGATCTGTTGGATATTGTACCACGTCAGTTATTCAGATTAAACTAGGCTAATCCATTAATTTCTTACCTAACTATTAATAGCTATCCTTATTTTCATCGCTAAAAAAGGAAACATTAGGGTAGCCCAGCCCCTTCAAAGACATTTATATACACATGAGGGTTGGAGAGCTGGGAGCAGACACAAGCAGTAATAGACAATCAACAATCACACTTCCTCTTTCAATGTGCGTGTCACTTTTTTTATTCTATTATTAAGAACAGTACAGTCTTAGTCACAATGCTGCTGTGCAAAAGAGGATCCTTTACTTATAAGCACTCAGCTGTTTATTTCCACTGTAGTTTTTTCTTTTCTTTAGACATTTTTTCCGAAAGGCAGAAAAAGCTCTTTCCGGGCTGAACCGTATGCAACTCTTCAAAAGGTCACCAGGACGAACAGGCAGACATCACCCTCTGCCCGGCGTGATCCGGGTGAGCGTAAACGCCACCGCTGGGGCTGCAGCTGGGATGACTCATCATAGCTGACGCTGAAATGCGACGCAGGACTGGCTGGATCTGTAACTGCGACGACGGGCTAAAGTCCTAGTGCTGACCTGGCCAGGTCAAAGGGAAACTTACTCTTTACTGTGTCACAGAGATCTGGGTTAAATTCAAAAGTAGACTGAGCACGCAGCCAGCATTTTCACAGCAAAGCAGCAGACAGGAGAGATACGGGGAGCAGGGGAACAGGGCAGGGCCCTAGGGGAGGGAGGGCTGCAGCACCTATGTGAACGGCAAACATTACGCTGTCACACATGGCTCCAATGCTCCTCTAAGCTACACCAAGCGGAGGAAATATGCATGCAGCGTTTACTGCCAGCAACGTGACACAGGGATACTTATTTACCCCAGGTCTAATTATTGGAGTTTCCACATTGGATTCAGTTAAAACTGCTTTTTAGCTCTAGGGAAAACAATGCCAGGATTTACAGCTTCTTTCATTAGTCTGATGCACCAAGTAAAGAATCATGTCTAATGAAAGGGCTTCCAGCCGGGGGGGCCGAAAACCGACCCGAGGCAGGACATCTGCCTCCCCCAGTGGTGGAAAGGTTGTGTGGCCCGGCGCGGTGGCACCTGCAGGACGTAGTCCAAGACCACGTGGCGGAAGCACTTGCGGGTGGCAGTCAGGATGCTGGTGGCCTCGTCCACCTCATGCTGCTTGTTGCGTGCGGCCTGCGCGTTCCTGGCCAGAGCTGCCTCCTTCTCCTCGCTCACCTTGTCAAACTGCTTCTTCGACTCCTTGAACTTCCTGAGGTCCCTGCAATGGAACCGATGTGCTCTGATCAAGGCAGGACGCACCTGTTTCGGGAACGTGCCGTGCACCCATGGAGAGTAAACACCAAATTGCGAATCTATTCAGCAGCAAAATACTGCCAGCAGCACTTAGCCATCAGCACGGTGTAAAGCACTACGGCTTGTTTGCTCAAATGAGAAGTGCCAGTGGTTTAAACATCAGGGAAGCTTCCCCCTTATTTGAGAGACTACTGGTTCAGACATGTGACGCATCTCCACAAGCAAAACTACGTGGGCTTTACTTTCCATTTAATCTGTTTGGTTCAGCTGGATTCCACCCATTACAATCAAAACAGACCTGCTACCTAAAAGATGTCTGAAAAAGAAAGAGCTACTTAAGCTGACAGGTAGACATAGTTATTTTACTCACTCTTTTATAAATATCTGAAGTTGGGACTTCACAGACCTCTGGGCTTGGTCGAATAAAATCTGAGAAAGGACATAGATTCATGTAAGCCAATTTACTCATTCCTGTCATCTAGAGTAGATGTACGGGATACATGACGCTGCTCAGGTAAACATCACAAACGCTGATGAGATTCTCACGTCCTCTACCAGAATGCACCTCCACATTGACAATTAATAAGCCCTGTTAAGACTACATCAACCAAGATCAGTTTTTGACAGGCAGGGCAGGAATGACCTGGAGCAAAAACTGTAAAAGGCTTTGGTTTGGCCAGGGGGGCACATTTACTTACCGTGTAGTAGTTGGTCATCTCCTGCAGGCTTTCCGCAAACTTGATCAGACTTGACTTGGGGGGAGAAGAACAAAAAGTTTCAGAAAGCTTTGGAAAATAACAACAAATCCCAAATACAACCTGTAACAAATGGGCTGGCGAACTATAATACCACATGTACAAAGAAGGTTAAAAAGAAAAGACCAAGGCTTTCCCTTAAATACAGAACATAAGCATCATATTTCTATGAAGGGTCACCAGTAGAGGCTGGAGCGCAGTGCTAACTCACCTCGATGACAACATCTTTGGAGGACTGCTGGGCCAGCTCCCGGACGCCATTAACAAACTGTCTGTTTGCCGTATTGTAGGCCTTACCGGCGTCGATCATTCCGATGCACAACTTCACTAGCTGACAAAAGCAAAGAGAAGACAGGCTTTTGACATTCCGCTCTTGTCCCAGTACCATGTTAAGAAACTGAAAAACAGTTTTTGGTTAATCATAATCTTCCTCTGACATTCTGGGACATGTAAACCTCGATTTTTAGACATGAGGTGAACTTTACAGCTTAAATCCGATTTCCTTGTACATTATCACTAATTCCAACTATCGGACCCCCTGAAAATGTGAAGAGGCTGCTGTCCAAGGACATGACTGCATTTCATTCTCTTATTGTGTGGGAAAAGCACTCTGCTAACTTTTACAAGACTGTCTGTAATACTCTGCTACTTGCCTCACGTTTGGATTTCAATCTTTAAATCAATTCATACACAGCCAAACTAAATGGTGCAATACAATCCTAGATAACTTAACGACCTGCGATATATGTGTGAGTAGAGACTAAATACTGGTTTAATAAAACCAACATTGTCTTAAGTCTCCACGATGCTTCCTGAACAGAGACTCACACTTCAAGGCAAATGATCCAGGGCTGCTGGCGCATGCAGCCTCTTGGTCAGAACTTGGAATGTGGGGGGGGAGGGGGGCCTCAATAATTTGTCCCAGTTGACTTTCCTCCCACCACCAGTGACTCATCTGTGAACTCACCTTGTCCAGCTTAGATTCCAGCTCACAGACATCCCCCTCCACCTCTTCTATACTGGCCCTGTCAGATGAGAGACGGCCAACATTGTCATGATAACAGGAAGTTTTCTTAAACATGAAAGCCTCACTGTGCTTGGGTGTGGGAACCCTGGCCTGCTTTCTCACGGTCACACTGGCTAAGCGACGTCCTCAGAGCCTTTATGGAAAGAACCTGCCTGCAGCCTGTCTGCATTCTCACCCAACCAGTGTACAGTGCAAAGACCAGCATGGATCTTACTGAAGATACACTTGCAGACTTCTTTTGGCTACTTTTCTGTGTTCTCATGCGGTAACAAGCCCAGCTTGGTGACCCGAATGCTCTATTGTGGAGTCACAGCTAAGACAAGACAAAAACTGAACAGAGGCAAAACTGCGTCTAACAGGAGATGCTGGCCCAAGGATCACCCTCGAACAGACAACAGAGGGAGTGTGAGGATTCAGGATTAGTGTGCTGTCAGTAGGATCATGACAAAGCAGCTGATGGCTGAATGGATCAGCACAGGCCTTCACTGAGTTACTAAGAGTGAATTCCAGCAGGGAATTATAAGCAAACAGTCCCATCAATATCCAGTACCAGTTCATATTAATTTCTTTTCAAATTAAGTCTAATTAATAAAGACATATAATCTGTAATAGGTATACCAAAACAAAAGCTGAAAATACAACATGACATATTGCTTCAATTTGACTATAATCTAGAATAACAACAAGAATACACTGAAAGCAGAATTGTCGGTCTTTGTTATGCACCTTATTCATATGTCAATCTTTTAAAGCAGTGTCTGTTCTCCCTAAAGGTAAATATAAATATTCAAATTCTTCTGTCCATACTAGCAACTCTACAATCCAACAAAGTGATAAGAGAGTAGCTTGGACGTGAGTATTAGCTACACTGTAGATATTGAAAAGAAGCTGTCAACCCATATAAACAAAAAGCATGACAATCTAACTGAGCTGAAATAAATCTGAGATTTAACAGCAGTCTGATGGCTTAATGCCTCCAGGCACCTGCGGGGTATCAGGGGTTGGCAAAGGAAACCGTTTGCTGTCACCTGCTGCATTGGAAAGGCAGTCTTACCCAGAGCAGGGCCCAAAGGTCCACATCCACTCATCTAGCACTTACAGAGAAAGGCAGTCTGACCCAGAGCAGGGCACTCGGATCCACATCCACTCAGCCAGCGGTTACAAGGAAAGGTGTCTGATCCAGAGTAGGGCCCTCAGGTCCACATCCACTCAGCCAGCGCTTACAGGAAAAGGCGGTCTGATCCAGAGTAGGGCCCTCAGGTCCACATCCACTCAGCCAGCGCTTACAGGAAAAGGCGGTCTGATCCAGAGTAGGGCCCTCAGGTCCACATCCACATGGGCGTAAATCCCGGGGGGGACGGAGGGGACATGTCCCCCCCCATCCGAGGGTTGTCCCCCCAAAAAAAATTATATAAAAAAAAAAAAAAAAATCGCACTCTCTATTGTGAAAAATATATGTATGTATACCTAAAATAATTGTGTAAGTAGAAAAAAAAAACAAACGCAAAAAATGCATTTAGAAACAGTTGACTTCCCCCTCCCCTTCCTCACAGTGGTTTGGCCCACTGCCTGCTTTCCCAGTTCATCTCACCTACTCTACACACACGAGTCAGGTGTGTGGCTGCGGCTCAATTAATGTTGAACTTCAGTAAGTAGGGTATTTTATGCAGACTCTTTCATAAATTCGTTGCGGCAAAAATGCTGATTACCGATGTAATTTTCCATGAATCTGCTATATTAGCGATTAAAATATTACTTATCTAGTTGACGTTAGCTTGTTTACAATAGCTTGTTGCATAGTGCACTGCAACTAACACGCCAAAGCCGTTTCCCATGCATTGTTTTATTTGTGACGACTTGGCATAATGTTAACTTAACATTGACGGCCACAATTAGCATATTGTTTAGCTGTGCATTTACTAAATGAGCACTGTGCTACGTCCGAACTGACCCCACTCTATTTTTTTGTATAATCAATTTCTATTATGCATTTAAATAGTCATGTTTAAATTTTATTGTATGTTGATGGCTTGACTGTAAACAACATAACAAACAATGCAATAAATAGTTTTGAAGAAAAATCTGCTTTGTCATTGAACCTGAGATAAACTTTGAAAATAACCATAATGACGCAGTCTCCATGCTACAATAATAATGATAGAAGCAAAGTTTTTCCACTGTGAGGACATATCTTTATAAGTACAATTTGACTGTATTATTTGTGTCCCCTTGCTCATGAGAAATTTTATATTTATTGTTCCCCCCTACTGTTAAATGAAATTTACGCCCATGCACATCCACTCAGCCAGCGCTTACATGGAATGGCGGTCTGACCCAGTGTAGGGCCCTCAGGTCCACATCCACTCAGCCAGCGCTTACATGGAAAGGCGGTCTGACTCAGGTCCACATCCACTCAGCCAGCATTTACAGATCACCAACTGTGGTAGAACTCTTTATCCCCTTTCCCCCTTGAGGAGTCCTCCTCTTCGTAGACTGTTCCTGGTGGCTCTGCCTCAGCGACAGGACCGCTCCTCTCTGCACCCTTTTCCCTGTGACACTGTCCCAGCTGCATGACTCCTCTCTGCAACCGTTCTTCCATAACTCTGCCTCAGCAGTAACACTTTCTCTCCTCACCTTTTTCCCTATAACTATCTACTAGGGGTGTAAACATGTATTGAGGCATCGTGATGAATTAAATATTACAGTGGCAATTCAATGCATCAATCTGTGATGTTACAATTTTTGGGTAACATAAAGATACACCTACTTCCAGGTTGTGCACTCTCACATTCACCTTTTACAGGTAGACACACAAAGTAGCAAAGTCAGCACCCAAATTTTCAAAACATAGGGTGGCAGGGATCATTTTTGGGAAAATCGTCCATGTATTGTAGCGCAGAACTCTTTAGAACTTGAATAATTTCTGATGCTTTTAGGAAAAGCTATTGTTTAACACAAAAATGTTGTTATTGTTGCAATCTATGGTAATAATGGCCAAGACCCTAAGGTAGCTAACTGAGTAAAAAGTAATGTTAGCCTTAGAGATGCACAACATATTGGTTAATATGACCAAAATCTCATATCCCGACAATGAAATATATCATGACTGCACCTCATATTTGCACAGCCCTACTGGCTGATACTTGTTAAAAATCAAAAGCATCAGACTGATGTTTTGATCTTAGCCAATACTGTCAGCCGATATTTAAACTTTATCAAAATACAAAGTTAGCACCAACAGCCCAAAGCCATAACTATTGGAATAATGGCAATGATTCCATTGATTGATCAGCAATTTTCCGTAGAGGAGGGTGAGGGATTTTGCCATTTACCACTTATAAGAGGTCTGAAAATACTGGCCCGTGACATGTTTATAATTCATTACTAAACTTCCGGCCTGCCGATCAATCTTTCATTTTCCACAGAATAAATAACGATATAGCATCATTTGGCTAATCTGCGCTGGCAACCCCCCAAACAGATAGTGCTTCCTTCCATTTTTCTCTACAGTTCAGTACACTTCTACTGTCCAGCTTTGCTCCATGCTATTATGGGAAACACTCCAAGAACACCTTTGCTGTTATATAAATTGCTTGCAAGGACGCACTTGCTATTAGATAAAGTCAAACATTTAAAAAGGTGTTGTAAGATAATACTATGGTAGTAATATTTAAACCCTGGCTCTGGCTCCAAGTGTGCAGAGTCCGCATCCTCTCATTTTGTTCACTTGATTTTCTCTGGGGATTCAGAAAATTAAGAACATTCCTCAGGATACTTGGTTAATAATATTGGATAATTAAGCACCTGAATTTGAGACAAGGCCCTTCTAGTATAGCTGACCACATCCATCCATCCACCATCTAACCACTTACCCTAGTCAGGGTCACGGGGCCTGGAGTCTATCCCAGGCTGCTTTAGGCACAGAACAGGGGCACATCTTGTATGAGATGCCAGTTTTTTTACAAGTCACAGGGCAAAGGACACCCTGGATGGCACGCCAGTCCATCACTGGGCACAGGACAGGGGTACACCCTAGATGAGATGCCAGTCCCATCACAGGGCACATACACACACACACACCCTTACTCACAATCGTACAATACAGGCAATTTAGAGATGCCAATTAGTCTAATTATTCTTTGGCCTGCAAGAGAAAACCCGCACAACATGAGAACATGCAAACTCACGCTGAGATACCTGGAACGCTTTCCTCCAAAGACCCCACTCCTCCAGGGCATTCAACATAAGAAAGCTGACCAGTGTCGATCAGGACACTGGAGCCCTGGTAATCTAATACAGAATTTTCCAATAACAGCACAAGCAGCTGGACTGCTTTAGTGCATTTCTCAGAGCCTTGGAATGGGAATAAGGCACCAGTACAGGTGTGTCTGCACGGTGCCACTGCAGTGTGTGTGTTAAGGCTGGGAAGCAGAGTTATTCTGAAACCTGTTCCTTGACTTTGATTGCTCTGCATGAATGATGTTTGTGTTGAGTTGGTGTTAAATTCTAACCACCTGGTTGGACAGACTGACTAAAGATACGTTTTTAATTTTAAAAACTAAATAAAATTTATTAATTGTATAGTTTCAGTTTTCTGTGCAAAGGTGCTGCATTTTGTTGAACTGTATTATACAAAAAGTGTCAAAACCACAGATCTAATGCATCATGACCAGTAGTGGAGGAAGTACTGAAACTTAGTACTTAAGTAAAAGTACAAATATCCTGCAAAATATGTACTCAAGTAAAAGTAGAAGTGCTACATCAACAATCTTACTTAAGTGAAAGTACTATAAGTACTTACTTTTAAATTTACTATAATGTATTTTTTTAAGTAAAAGTACTCACACAATGGTTTGTCTCAACGTCTGGGGTGTGACATTTTGTAAAAGAATAGTAGATATTAGGGATGCTCCGATCAGGATTTTTGCCACCGATACCAAGTACCGATTTTTTTGTCATGGTGATCGGCCGATACCAAAGCCGATTCTGATCCACACC